AGAGAACCTCCTTCCTCCTCCTCCCCCCCCCCCCAATAACAACAACCTTTGAGGTGAGGGAAGGTGACTGGTCTAAAGCCATGATATAGGCTTGCCTATTTTTACTGAAATCCCTCTCTGCTCTTTTAAACATAGCTCTGCCATTATATTACATTCTAGCCCGACTGCCATTCTTACAATAAAACCTCTTAAGCCGTACAATAGTTATTTATAACCTACCTTTTGTTTATTCAACCAGCTGGAACATTAGGTGGTTGTCTTCCACCACAAAACCATTTTTAGATTAAAATTGACCCTCCCCCAGTTATCTGTGGGCAAGTCCTAAAATTAGCCAGATTGAGCATCCATGGCTGTTATAATTTAAACTTCAACAAGGTGTGCGAACGACTGTGAACAACTGCTGGAGGTATCTGGTCTTCAGAAGGAGGAGGTAACATCTTTGCTTCTTCTAGCCTACAAAAATCTTCCTTCTCCCCTGATTAGGCTAAGCGCAATCTTTCTGCATCTGCAAATGTATGACTATCTTGAAAATGCTGATTAAAAGGAACTTGAATTACTCAGATTGATTAAACAGATATTTTGCTAGAAGGAGCTGAATTGCCTTTAAAACAAACCCAGTTGACTGGATCAAAAACCTTTCTTTTAACCCAACCATGCAGCCGACTATAATTATCACCAAGTCCAAGGTGATATTAATTGTGTTCATTAAGAATGAAGGGATTTGAACTCCAAAGCATAAAGGGTATGTGGTGAATAGGTTAATTAGAAGGATAAATGGAAGAATAAATAGAATCTGGGCAAATATGTTACTCTTCATAGTATTATATAATTATTTGTAAATATCTATCAGCATTTTATAAATCATTTGTTGTATTGGCTAATTGTTGTATTTGCGGTTTGGGAAAAGATATTTTGAACTATCTGCTGGCCTAATGAATCTAACAGCTACTGGTTATGTATTTATTTGTTTTATTGTTGGTATGATTTATATTGGAGGGACTGTTATGTTTTAGATTTTCATTTACTTAATATATTGTTAACATTTTGCTAAGATACGTTCAGATTAGCCGTTAGTGGATGTAGCTTAAGTGAGCAGGTTTTATGAGATTAGGAATGCAATCCTTATTTAAAAGAACTCCCACTAATCCATGCTACGAAATTAGTATGCATAAGATTGTAGTCTGAATAATTTCCTTCTTCAACAATTCTGCTATTTTATTCACTTATTTATCTATTTTATTATTTATTCATTCATTCATTCAATTACTATAGTCACCCAACTCAATCAAGTAATTCAAGTGGGTGTCTTTATCTATCTATCTATCTATCTATCTATCTATCTATCTATCTATCTATCTATCTATCTATCTATCTATCTATCTATCTATCTATCTACCNCCCAGCAAAGCAGTGTACTGGGGCCCCTACGACAATTACTCACAAGGATAAAAATGTAAATGGTCAATAAAATTAAAAATATATTTGCATGTTAGTATTAATTAAAAAATGCAGTAAAATGTAATAAACATGTTGCTGTATTTATATAATACAAGGTGCATTGAAGGGTTAGCATACACATATTAGTATGGGGCATCTATGTTCGGGCAAGTGCCCATTAGGCCCACGTATTAAGACAACCCTGATGATTCTCCCATCAAACATAATTAGAATCATACAGAAATTGACTATCTGATCAAGATTGAACTGCAGCTCTAAGATCAGAAGGAATTTTTTGGGGCTTACAACAGGATATATGTATTGAATAAGAATTCAGTGGTATAAGTGGGTCTTTCTACTTTATGAATGTAAGATTCCCATAATTTTTATACAGTTCATATTGGTGAAGGTAAAAACAAGATCATACATTCTGGGAATGGGGGCCTTTGCGGATCATAATTAGCTTCCTAATCTATCCCTCCCTTTTAATTTTTTTTAAAAATTTGCATCAATATAGGTGCCAGGAGTAAAAGAGCCTGCTCAGAAACCCGGCAAAGAAGCAGGCGATAAAAAGGTTGACAATGCTTCCAAAAAAGGCGCCAAGGAAGAAGACAGTGATGAAAATGAGGAAGAGGAGAATGAAGAGGAAGAAGAGGAGAAAGTAGATGAAAATGGAAGTGGCGCTAACGCCACCAGCACAAACAGCACTCTCGAAGAAACTGGAAACGGTGGAGAGGAGGAGGAAGAGGAAGAAAACGAAGCAACCACCATCAGTCTAACCACCTTGGTCACAACTGTCAACCCTACTGAAAGTACTACGGGCGAACAATTTCAAGACAGCACCACCGCTGCAGATCAGGGCCAGCATGACACGACCACTGAAGATCCATGGGTGCATGATGCCACCACCACAAATGGTTATGATGAACATGGATATGAAGTCCAAACTGATTATTATGGCAGTGAGAACGGGTACCCACGAGGAGATACTTTCAGAACATACGAGGATGAGTATAGTTACTACAAGGGGCATGGATACGATGTATATGGCCAAGATTATTACTATAATCAGTGAAAAAAATTAGCCAACCCTGGTTATATATTTTTGCATGTCAATTGTTCACAAAAATCTACTCAGGAAAATGCATCACAATAGAATGGTGCTTGTAAAATGAAATAAGCAGTTGATATCTGGTATTAGTGCTAACTATGAAAATATGCTGTTTTTAAAGGTTTGTCTTTGATCAATATTCATGTACCTATCATGGATTTATTTTAAAGAAATAATCACATTGAAGATTGAATATTATTTTGTTGCTCAACATCAGTTTTTCTTTGGATGGTGCTGAACTTGGACTTGGTTCCATATTAGCCACTTCTTTGTCAGATGAAAACATTATCAGACTGAAGTTTGTTGTATAAAAGAGATGGCCCATTCTTATATTTATGTTAAAGCTGAGATATACCAACCAGATTGACTCGAAGTAAACATAATGAAAGAGGTTAAATGTATCAGACTAATTTCATTTTGTTCTGATTATTCTGTACTGATAAAGAGTATAATTATGTTTACATTAGTTACAGATGAAAAATAAAATCATTCCTACTACGACATTGCATTGAAAGCTCGGACTACCATCTGTTGGGTATCTGGATGATATTCTCATTCAAATATTGACTCTGGTTCAAATCTGCTTAAACAATACCATCTCCCTCCTCAGGTTATCAGTAAAAACCTCACATCATGATCCCTAGAATATTTTTAAAACTAAGGATAGTTCTAAAAAAAGGAGGAGGGTGACTGAGTATATCCACATCTGTAATACGTTTCCCATAATATTTCCACCATATATGTACATTTTTTGATCAGAGACCTCAACAAGGTCAACTTAACTGCACACATGAAAAATTTCCGGAACCAGACAGTTCATGTTTAGCAATAAGAAAACATTCTCAAAATTCAAAATATATGGATGTAATGTTATGACTTAAAGATTCACTAGGCAACGTTATTTTAATAAATTAGATTTAAAAATTCTTGAAAACTTGCAAAGACACACTTATACAACACTGGCTGATAACCCAGCGTAGCCCAGGGTATGTATTTATCCCAATCCTGTATTAGAGGGACCTCCCTTATGGAGTACTGCGAAGTTGTTACCATGGCAACCTCTACTGTGCTGTACAGTAGAAGCCATTTTAGGGCACAACAGGCTGTATCTTAACAGAACCTGAATCCAAAATGCATACTATCACTGTCAAAAGTACTGTGACTTGACACTATAGATATAATTCAGTCCTTTTCATTCTAGCGACCCAGGCATTCTGGAGTTATGCTGGAACGGACATACACGGACACAAACTACTGACACACACACACACCGAGGAGTGTTAGGGGTGTCTTACCCCCACCGTATTTGTTTCCAGAGAGTAAGTCATCTGTGCAATAAATTTGGTTGAAATTGCTTGAGGCTTTCCAGAGTTATGCTGGAACACACAAACACAGACACACACAGCCATTTTTATATACAGTAGATAGATAGATAGATTTGGACATGACTTTTTTGTTCTGGTCACTGCTCTTCTTAGACTTTGTCTAAGACTATAGAATATAGAAAGCTAAATATAAAGTAGAGACCACACAGCCCTCCCAAACTCCCTTTTCACTGACAGAGGCACCATGGGTCGATCCTATTTGCAGGGCAGCCCTGGAGGCCAGATCTAATCACCCCGCGGGCCACATCCAGCCCCCGGGCCTTGAATTTGACCCTCCTGATCTAGGAGCCACCTGGCAGAAATCAATCAATCCAGCTGAGATGATTTGCAGTTTCTCCCTCCTAAAAATATTAGGAATGAATATACAGTATGTGAGTTTATGTACCTATAGTTATGCCCAGTGGTGGGTTTCAAAAATTGTTCGAACCTACTCTGTGGGTGTGGCCTCCTTTGTGGGAGTGGCTTGCCACCCATGTGACCAGAT